AGGATGATTTGAAGGAAGAGTTTTTTGTTGAATTTCAAGTGCTTTTTTGAAATATAAAAGTGCTTTGGAGTATTCTCCTATATTGTCATACACACTACCGATGTTGTTATATGAAGTAGCCAATGAAAGATGATTTGAAGGAAGAGTTTTTTGTTTAATTTCAAGTGCTTTTACGTAAAAAGAAAGCGCTTTCGAGTACTCTCCCATGTTGTCATTCACCAAACCGATGTTGCTGTATGAAGTAGCCAATGAAGGATGATTTGAAGGAAGAGTTTTTTGTTCTATTTCAAGTCCTTGTTCGTAATACCAAAGAGCCTTTTCATAATCACCTTGAACTGAATGAACATATCCCAACTGATTATAATAAAGTGCTTTGTCACCCTCGTCAGATGTCTGTTCGAGTAATACATTATAAATTTCTTCTGCTTTATTAAATTGACCAATTGTAAGCAATAATTTACCCAATCTCTTCCATCCAGTACTACCACCAGCTTCTTCTCGTATTCGATCAGTAAGTAATCGTAGTTGTTGATCATCATCTGATGTTAATTGTAATTCAACTCGATAAAGTTGATTCTTATTATCCATTTGTTTAATTACACTCACCCGAAACACGGTGTGCATTGAGAAGAGAATTTCTTCTTCTTCCTTAAAATAACTTTTCTCTTTGATGGAGGCAAATGGTGCCGATTTAGTAAAAGGATCAATGGACATTACAAAGAAAATGCCGACCATGTCCGGTTTTTTGGAAGCAGCGTCAGCAAATTCGAGAGAGATTTTCTTATCTTTACTGGTAGACAAGAAATTGTTAAATGACATAAGACCACCTTTTGCTTTCTGAAGTTTTTCAAAGTCTGATTTCATAAGACCTTGTCCTCGATAAACTAAGAAAGATATTCTTCCATAACTACTGACTTGTTGTTCGTACAACTGTTGAATTTGTTGATGCAGATGACACATAAAGAAACCCATAGTAATTATTGCATCAGCGTCCAGTGTTCGAAGAGCATAATTGAGCATACAATAGATATTGGATGGGAAAGTATACCACCAAATAGCTAATTGAGCAGCGTATTCTTTCTCAAAACGGTTAGTATTGATTGGTGACAAGCTGTTATTATTTCGACAATAAGCAGCAAACTGTTGGATCGATTGTTCATCATATTCAATATCAAGGAGAATCTCCTTGAACAGTTGTGTATACATGAAAGTTGGCTCCAACTGATTTAAATTCTCAGTTGAAGCCATTTCATTTACCGCAAGAAAACTTACGGCAATTGTGTCCTGGTTACATTGTTTAACCGCCAACTGTAATGCTTGGCATATTTCTTTGATATTTGTATGGACACCTTTGATTTTTGTCCAATTTTGAGTCCAATTCTCATGTCTGGATTTGTTGCTACAAAAGATATAAATGGAATCTAGTTGTGGTATGCCATGAATTGCAGGAACCAACTGTTGACCTAATGAGCCAGATAATATCACAAAGGCTTGTTCTTTATCAACCTTGTTGAGTGCCTGCATACACTGATCCGGTTCAGTGCATAAGTTGACATCGTTGACCACATTCTTCAATTGAGCCAGCGTATCCTGGCAGTCCTTGTCTGCTCGGTCAATGCTGGCATCTACCCAGATGAGAAGGTAGTTTTGTGCCATACGTTGTCGGGGTTGAGGAATATTTAATGATGCTGTTGATTTAAATGATGCAGCAGCAGCATTTTGAGTTGGTTTTGATCCGCTCACTTTGGTCTTGTTCGATGATGCAGCGGCATTTTGATTCGATTTTGATCCGCTCACTTTGATCTTGTTGGATGATACAGCAGCATTTTGAGTTGGTTTTGATCTGCTCACTTTGATCTTGTTCGATGATGCAGCAGCATTTTGATTCGATTTTGATCCACTCATTCTGATCTTGCGGTAATTTATTATTGAAGGTGAACTAGCCAGTCGACTTCGTTGTTTCAATGAAAAGAAAGATCACCGTTCTTCTTTATATAGGCAGCGGCTAGTTTTTGCTCGATTTTTCGGCGATTTCGAATTTTTGTGTGTTTTTGTTGTCGCTCAAGGACAAACTCCATCTAGTTACGTTTGAGAATAATATTGTGTAAAACAAAAAATAGATCAAAAGAAACACATTTGTTGGTAATATTATTGAAAGAACGAACAAAACAGAGGCCAACAATCGAATACATTTTATTGTTATTCTTTCCAACTTATTCTTGCTTCTGTCTACACCATTACTGCAGTTTGCTGATGTGTTGGCGACATGCTTTTCACCGAATATAGGCAGAAAGACAAATACAATTCTTTCGACGAATTGTTTTTTCTTTCATACTCTTTTGTCAGACATCATATTAATGATTGAAAAAACACTGTACACTTAATATTAATGAAAGTAAGATCAAAGAAACTTCTCTAACTTATCTAATTTACTGCAGATAATAAAATTCATTATGACAATGGGATATTGTAAGAACTTTTTTGGTTTCTGTTGGAAAAAAGGAAGTGTTTGATTGAAAATAGCTTTCAAAAAGCACAAAAATATTAAGAAATTTTTTCATAAGTTGAGTATGAAATACTATTGTTGAACAAAACAGAAATAATTTTGTAATCATAAGGGTGCAAATGGCTATTTCAATTGTTGATAGCAATTGAAAAAATTAACTTTCTCAAAAAATGAGATGTTGAGGAACTCTATATACTTTACATGTAATGAAAATTTATTTTCATATTCAAATAAATAATTTATGAAATGATTTCTTTATCAAATAATGTGCCGTTTATTGTTTTTTATACACCAGAACAATTATTTAAGACGACACGGATGATTTTGTTGTAGTAAATAGTGTATATATAAATGGTGGTAGAATTCATCCTATTCTAGTTGGAAAAAAAAGCAGAAGTAGAAAGAAATATGGAAATGCTCTTGTAACAGTATATATGTTATGCATCACTAGACTGATGTTCATTACAAGTCACATTGCATGAAAATCTTTGAAGAAAAATATTATCAATAGTAACGATATAAGACGCAAATAATTTCTTTTTGTTTAAATCTAAAAACAAAAAGCCATTATTAAGAATAGTCATGTGGCTTCTTTTGATTTTAAATCGTTCCGCGAAAAGCAACTGTAATGATGATCTTTAGTTAGCCGTTTAAAATGCAAATATAAGGAGAAAAAAGTACATTGACAACGAAACAAACAAACGTTAATACAGTTTTATTATTCTTACCATTTTATCTTGAGGGTGTGGGTGTGGGTGTGGGTGAAGAAGAGTAGTCACACCTACACTCTCAAGAAATTACTCATCTTTCTTCAGTCATAATTGAGAAATTGATACGGGTAGTTTCATTTCATATTCGGCAAAAAGCGTTTTTTTATTTTCAACTTTCAAAACACAAAAAAAAAAAAAGAGAATGACAAATCATTAAAAAAGAAAACAATCAACATAAACTATGTTGTAACGCAAAAAATTTCAAGCGAAACAACATGCTACACAACAAGCACATACAACAAATAAAGAAGAAATAAGCCTAAATATTTGCTAGTTAATCAAGTATCACTGACGCTTTTATGAAAACAAAAAAAGATCAGTTTTAACGACGAAATTGCACAAGATAACGTAAAGCTACTTGTGATTCATCATATACAATATATTCATTATAATTAAGACCATAAAAACCAACTTTAATATCTGTATTATCGATCATATTACCAAGTGGCATACGAACACCATAATTTCGTGTAACTGTATATCGTGGATCAGGTATAAGTCGACCAGTACCTTTACGACTTTGAAATTGATTTAAATCAAGTTGTTTTGTACCATCATCACCATCATCATTATTTAAACCCATTTCTTTAATTTCACCTAAAGCAACTTCACATAATATCATAAAACAACGTTCACCACCACCATCATTCTGTTTTACACCTGAACAATAACCAAGACTTTTTGCAAATGTATCTGCTGTATAAATTCCCTATTATACAAAACAAAATTTAATAGAATACAAATCTAAATTTTTTTTACATACTTTTCCAAATAAACTTCCACTTGCCATAGCAGCTAATGGTCCAACAAGAAGTCCTCTTGTAAGTATACTAATTAAATTACAAATATTAGTACCATGCCATAATAAATAATGATTATCAAGATTCGATTTATATAAACGTTCATCCTCGTTTGGACGTGCAATTTTAAATATTTGTTCAACTTGTATAGTTGATGCACTTGCCCATATATAACGTAAAATTAATTGTGAATCAATATCATCTTTATTCATAGCTTCAAATTGACAATTGATTGATTTATATAAATAATCTAATGGTGAAATTGTTTTTAAATTAGCTTGTGCACCTAAAAGTATTTTATAGGATAATTCAAGTTCAAGTAAATCATCAAGTATTTTTTCTTGTTGTTTAAGTTGACCTTCATTATCAATAATAGGTAATTTTTCATCCGCATAACCTCGTAATGGTATTATTGTATAATATTCATTGGTATGTTTATAAATCGAATCTAAAATAGTTTTAAATTGATTTTGTTGTTCAATTGTTTTTCCTCGTTGTATTGCTAAAGTTAATTCTTGTTTTTTCTCAATATTATTTTTTAATTCAATTAATAAATCACGTGCTTTTTGTAATGTTTCACGTTTTAATTGTGATACAGGCATCCATTCAATATCTAATTGTGTTTTATCAATATTTAAACGTATAGCTTGACGATTAATTAATGTTTTAAGAAAATCTTTAAATATGGATGAATGAAGTTTGGATGATATATGTTCAGTTTGTAAACGTTCAAAATCAATTGGTACATTTGAATACTTATGTAGTTCACGTTCATTTAATTTAATTAATGTATATTTTTTTGGTTTAATTTCAAATTGATTTGTATCTTTCCATGCATTACCAGTTTTTTCACGAAAAACTTTTAAGAATTCTTTTCGACATTCATCTAATGTTGAATATGGTGTTAACTGATATTGACCTTCAGCATCACCAATACGTCCCCAACGTGTAAAAAGAAAATATAAATTATTTTTACTTTTATGTTTTATTATTTGCATACGATAAAAATTATATAAACCAACAATACCATAATTAACATCAGTTTTTGTTAAA